GGAATAATACAGAATAGACAATAATGAAGAATAAATTAATAGTAAATTATAAAGTAAAATAAATAATCATGAAATGTAGTTTTATAATCTTCACAAACATGGCGGACGCGTTGACGTATCGCAGCAAGGGCTCAAAGCAGAAACGGCCCTGGATTGCAGTGATACATGATGGTGAAAAATGACTGAATGAATAATACTTAAAGTAAGTTAAGATTTATTCATCTTAATAAATGAACCCCCCCCATTGCTGTGGTCTAGAACCGCCCCTGTTTGAGAGGCCAATAAACGGATTAGTATTTAATTATTTTGAAGATAAAGAGGACGTTCACCACCCAGAGTAAATAGAGATACCTACAATATTAGAATGAAATACTCTATTCAAATAACAGGTGAGATTACAGCAAGATTTATTTTCTTCATGTGTGTGGATATTATGTATATTTGCTTAAAGCTTTCAACATTATTTTCCAGTGCTCCATATTGTACAGACTGGTATTTAACATAAAAATAAATGATTACACAGACAGAAATCATGCGTGGTAAATTTACCTTTCTAACTTTAACTCTCCTATATTATAACTTTAAATGAAACTTTTTTCAGAAGACTTTTTAAAAAGTTAAATTTCATTTCCACTGATAATGCTGCTACATGTAATTATCATATGATATATGTACATAGATGTTTTTATTTGTTCACTGATCATTTTAATACATAGATAAGTGCTTGCTTAATAAGAACATATATTAATGATTGGTTTCCTTCTTTTTTTTTTTGGAAAGTTTTGCCCTCTTGTTGACCATATAATTTTGCAACCATTTTGCATGTTTGAGTAATATTCTGATAATAAATATATAACACCCACCAAACAGCATTTATCATGATTTAGTCATGTGGTGGTCTGTGACGTTAAATAAAATTAGATACTATTACATATTCCATAGTTAAAGTAGTTAATTGTTTGAAATTCTAGTACCAGTACTTAATTTTTTTATGACTAACTAATTATGGCAAACATGTCCAAACTCAGTAGATGCTCATAATATTTCCAGAACACTTTTGCATGTATACAAATAATATAAATATTATTGTAACAGACAATGTTTGTCTTTCTCTTAAAGGGGAAGTCACACATTTACAGGCGCATGCCTAATGAAACCTAATGGTAAATAACTGAAACATATCTCAGTCTGTCTGACAATGTGTCTGTTTGTA